CTGTACATAGTGACTAGGAATGGTGAGATCTCAATAACATGAACATACCTACAGCCCAGATCTTGGCTTAAAATATCATTTTCCAGGAGAGGGAATCAGGGCTCCTTATAGAAATGGCTGCTTCCAAGGCTAGGCTAGGAAAATTAAAGATGGGCGTGTAATATCTTATTATGCCAGAAAACAAGGAAGTTTTCCAAGAATGATGGAGATGTGGCTAAGGATACAAAAACTTAAAGGGGCTCCCACTGGCCAAATCTGGGATAATTTGAATATCAAAATACATAATGATGGTGTGGTAGGCAGAATAATGATTCTCAAAGATGTCCACACGCTACTCTCTACAACCTGTGAACATATTAGGTTACATAGCAAAGGGAAATTAAGGTTACTAATCAACCACCCTAAATAGGGAGATTATCCTGGATTATCGGATGGGCCCAATGTAATCACAACTATCATTAAAAGAGGAAGAGAAAGGCAGAAGGAGGTCAGAGGGAGACAGGACTAAGAAGAAAGGTCCGAATGTGAGAAAGACTCAACCCACCGTTGCTGGTTTTGAAGGAGGAAGGGGGCCATTGGCCAAGGAATACAGGTAGTCACTAGGAGCTGGAAAAGTTATGGAAGCTGAGTCTCCCCTAGAGGCTCCAAAAAGGAATGCAGCCCTGATTTTACCTTTGATTTTAGTCCAAGAAGACCCGTGTAGACTTCTAACCTACAAACCATAAGATGATACACTGGTGTTAAGATGCTGACTTTGTGGTAATTTGTTACAGCAGCAATAGAAAACTAATACAGATGGTAATGGGGTACAACCCATCAAATAAAAGGTTACAGTGAGTCGACACAGATGTCCAGATAGATAGATAAACGGATAGAGACAGATAAAAAGTTTGATGGGGATTAAGATATCTACATGGTTCAAAGCACTTATCCACAAAACATGTATTAAGAAGTGAAGCCTTGCAAACGCCACCTTAGTCACATGACCAAAGTGATCAGCAGCAGCAATGGGACAAATTAAAATCCTGTGCCACCTGATAGAACACACAATGAGAAAAATATAGCAACAATTCTGTGATATTCCTAACAAAGACATATAACCTGAATCTAATTATGAGTAAACATGAGATAACCCAAATTGAAGGACATATCACAAAATAACTGACCTATAATCTTTAAAAGTGTTAATCAAAATTAAGAGAGTTAGGCAAGGCCATAAAACTGTTTCAGATTGAAGAAAACTAAAGAGATACGGCAACTAAATGCAACTCATGATTCTGAATTGGATCCTTTTGCTATAATTTAGGACATGATTGGGACAACTGGCAAAACTTGAATGAGGTCTGAATACTGGATGCTAAGAATGCGTCCATTTTAAATTCCTATTTTAAGAGCTGTGATGTGGTTATGCAGGAGATCTTATTTGTAGACAACACATAGTAAAATATTGGGGGTAATAGGGCATTGGTTAGTAACTTATTCTCAAACAATTAAGGAGGAAAAAGTTCTTTGTACAGGACTTGCAACTTTTCAGTAAGCTTGAGGTTGTTTTAAGAGGAAAATCAATACATAAATCAGAGAGAAGAAACATAAAACTCATAAACGCCCTCTCACAAAATGCCAGTGACCAGATACTGATAAACATTTATCATAAGTAATTTAGGCAGTATATATCAGTAATTTTTTAAATCCTTAAAATGCTGTAAGTTTTTTGGCCCAATAAGTTTCTCTCTGGAAATCTGGCCAAAGAAAATAATTCAATATACAAAAAGTTAAATCTATACAGATGTTAACTCCAGTATTATTTACAACAGCAAAAAACTACAACAGCAAAAAATTTTAACCACTGAGGATTTCCATTAATGGGAAATTTGTGTTAACTATTATACACATTAAAAAAAATTCTATGCCACTGAAAATAATACACAAAGAGTTTTGAATAACATGAAAAAAATGTTCACACTGCAACACCTACAAAGAACATTTTGGGAATATCATCAAAATTACAAATGCTCATTCCTTTTCACCCAGAAATTCCAGTGCTAGGATTTTATCCTACTGATTGACATACATATATATACGCAAAATAACACATATTGAAAGTTTTTCACCACCACATTGTTTGTAATAGCAAAAGATTATACATAATTTAAATTAGCATCAACAGGAATTAGAAAAATTATGGTACACCTATAAGATAGAATATTCTGCATTTGCAAAAAATAATAGGGAAGCTCTTTATGGACTATTGTGGAAGTCTCCTCACAATATTAAGTGAAAAGAGCAAGAGGCACAGCAACGTGCTTAAAATCAGGAATATGTATACAGACATACAGATCCACATATAGATTTAAATTTGTTTATCGACTACCTCTGGAAGGAATTACAGGAAAAGAAAGCACTACTTGCCTCAAGGACAGTAATCAGGTAGCTGAGGAAGACTTTGAACCATATACCCTTTTATGCTTTGTGCATCTTTTTTAACGCGACTGTACGCTTTTGAAAAACATAAAGCTTAAAGTTTAAAATAATAAATAGTTCATAAAAATATGGAGAGTAAAGAAATAGAGCAAACTAAGTAATTTCCCCTTTCTTTACATGTTCTAATATCTTTCAATTTTCCATTGATCATGTTATTTACTTAATCAGAGAATAACATATTACTTTAAAAATTGGCATGATCATCTAAAAAAAAATATGGTTAAATATGTGTAAAATCATAGCTAATCATGTGAAAATTTTTGGGGCCAGCCTGGTGGCGCAGTGGTTGAGTTCGCATGTTCCACTTTCACGGCCTGAGGTTCTCCAGTTCCGATCCCGGGCGCGGAGCTATGCACTGCTTGTCAGGCCATGCTGTGGCAGGTGTCCCACATATAATGTAGAGGAAGATGGGCACAGTTGTTAGCTCAGGGCCAGTCTTCCCCAGCAAAAAAGAGAGAGAGAGAGAGAGGAGGACTGGCAACAGATGTTGGCTCAGGGCTAATCTTCCTCAAAAAATTAATTAATTAATTAAACAAATAAAAATAAGAAAACTTTAGAATTTTCATTTTTATTACTACTACTACTCCACATTATTTGAAAAATTTAAAATACTCTAACCTTTCACAAGCATACTGCTATGCCAAATTCATATTTCCATTTTATTCTTCATTTTTTAAAGACTTATTTCACTGAATGGCTCAGATTCATAGATATTGCTAAAAAACAAAGTCTTTCTGTCCTATTCAAAAAAGCCTTCAAACAACCAAGCATGTCAATATTGTCTCTCCCTTTTTCTTGCTCTTGAAGTCGGAGTTGTAGATCACTATCTATCCCCTATGAGTAACAGAATATGAGTGTTTAGGTGGTAACTCAGAGAGAGGTCACCCACGCAGACAGAGGAGTTCCAGTTCCCACTCCAACTTCATTCAATGAGGCAATTTGTGACCCATGGGAGAGTCTTAACCTCACTTTCATCCTGAGCACATAGCTTGGCAAAACAGACACTTGGAACCAAGGTCACCAACGAGTCACATCCTAATTGTTAATGAAACAAACAAATATGATTGAAATGAAGAAGGCGCCTGGGAAGAGATTAGAAAAGCTATAGGAAAGAAAACAAACTGGGTGAGGCAGAAAGCTCCTCAGAGTCATGTCAGCTGAGACTGCTCCCTATCTGGGTATATATATGAGAATGAGCTAGTGGGGGAACACTGGGCTCCCCCGCTTTGAGTGAGCAGGGAAACTCAACAGAAGGAAGCAGCCCTCTTTGTGAAAGCTGCTGCTTGATGATGAGTATGCAGAGTAAGCAGCACGACCAATAATTGAAACCAGGTCTAGACTCTTAATTAAAATGCTACATTGTCTCTATCCTAATAAATTAGGCCTGATCTTCACCTGGAATAGGCCCAGATTTAACCTCAACTTTGTTAGACACGGATATTTTAGATTGTGCACAGTCACACAGACGCTGAGAGAGACACTGCCTGTTAGTTTACACCATGTTGTAACAGGGATCTACTTCTCATAGCAGCAGCCTGGGTCCCGGGGGACAGACAGGCCTGCATCACTCCAGGAACCTTCATGTCAATGGATCTGCCTCCAAGAGCAGAAGAGAAACAAGTTCTGCAGATGCATTTCCAAACCACTACAAAATATTTTGCTCTCTCTGCCAAACGCCTTTTATCATAGCCTTGCAAATTAATAGACAAGATTAAAAAATTTCATTTTTTTATCAATAAAACAGGGAGATGTGTGTACCGCTCGGGAACTCCTTTTAAATTGGTATCATAATAAAATGTACTTAAAAAGTCAAAACTGGAACTCTGAAAAGACAGTATCCTAAGATCTCAAAATGCTGCCCAAACAATTTAAGATTAGATTATATCAAAATGATTCTCAAATTTCAGTTTATATGAAATGATTCTGCAGAGTGATCCGCTTTATACTTAGGTATCCCAGTACCAACTCCCAATTTTCTGTGCCACAAGAACCCAAAATAACGGCTAATTTAAAACTGAGTTAAATTTTATTTTAAAAAGCATTTTATAATTACACAGACATATAGATGTTTTGGGCGATTCAATACCACATATTGTGTTTTATTTATCACGTTTAAACATTTGATTTTGCAGACACTTGCTGTTCAACTCTTTATTTGCTATGTAATTCTAACACAAATATTAATCAGCCTAGAGCAGAAGTGTTCACTCACTTAAACTTACTAATTCTTACTTTTTTAAGAACAAAGAGGTAATTATTTTTCCTGGTTATCTTTACAGTTGATATTGTTTAAACTTGTTTAGTTGGTCAGTCAGCAAATATTCATTGATCAGGAACTAAGGACCAAACACTGCTTAAGTCAAAAATTATTTAGATATAAGGAAAATCAGTGGTTAAATCCATTGAAAATATTTAAATGGAGATGATGCAACCAAAATGAGACTGGAAAAATTATTAACATAACTGAAAAATTATCGTTAAAATAGCTAGTGTCTGCCTGGTATTTTTAAAATACTCACCTGTAGCAAATAGGAACTGCCTGGCTCTAGTAAGCTGACAGCTTCATTCTGCATCGTGTTCTGTTGTGTAATTGCATCTTCTCGTTTCCGCTCTTTCTGCCCTGCTTCGTCATCTTCATATTCATCTAAGCACTGAAAGAGAGAATAGTTTCCATTTTATTCCCACATAATATTAACAATGTTTCGATAGTATGTGAACATACATTTAATAGCATTAAATAAATATTTGTGCATTCAGAAACTAATTTACACAGTAAAGGTGTTCCTTTCAGCAATACGGACTTTTAATTCCTGTAAACTAACTTATCTACTAAAACTGTGTCAACCTTTAAACAAGGTACTTTTTGGAGAGTAATAAAAGATACACCACAGACACGGAATACAAAGCCTAGTAGTGAAAATATAAACACACACATACACACATGCAGATAATGATAAAAGCCATTTTCCAGCTGAGAAGTGCCTACGAGTGTATACAGAAAGAGCATTTCCACCTAGGGAGTAAGTCTTCTAGAGACTCTGTAGAAGAGCTTATAATTTAAAAGATGGGTATAATTTGGAACTGCAGATACAGAAAAAAGAGAATTTCAGATAGTGGGAAGAGCATACGGAAAAGCTTACGGGAGAGGGTACTGCTAAAAAAGTGGAATCAACAACAGCAGTTATCTATCTCCAGACTTTTTACATGGAAAAAACAACTATAAAGAAAAATAAAACGCTAGCCATTACACCCACTGTGGAATGGGTCATCTGTTCCTTGCAATTGAACACATTCCTAACCAGCAGACTGCCCTAAAGGGTTCTGAGAGCAACAAAACAGAAATAAATCATGTCTCTGCAGGCACTCTGTAAATACTAAGACAGACAAAGCATGGTGTGACAAGAAAGACAACAGGACTTAAACTGTGCAAAGAGAGAAAAAAGACTAAGGCCACTGTACAAACCAAGAAGGGTCCCTGGAGTGTCTGGAGTAGAAGGAACATGGTAGATAAGCAGCACATTTGAAGACACAAGGTCCACAAATGCGGGATGTGGAAGAAAGCATCTGTCTGAGATAGTCTTAAACTAGAGATGATGTGGAGACGAAGCTAGTGGACAGAATGGAAAGGACAGATTAAAGAAACAAGGAGGCAGGGCCGGCCCGGTGGAACAGTTGTTAAGTTCATGTACTCCACTCTCACAGCCCGGGGTTCGAGGGTTTGAATCCTGGGCGCCAACCTACACACCACTCATTAAGCCATGCTATAGTGGCATCCCACATACAAAATAGAGGAGACTGGCACAGATATTGGCTCAGTGACAATCTCCTCAAGCAAAGAGAGGAAGATTGGCAACAGATGTTGGCTCAGGGCCAATCTTCCGTACCCCTCCCCCTCTGCTGCCCCACCCCAAAAAGAAAAAAGAAACAAGCAGGCTGAGATTCCAGAGTGTTCAGGGTCCTCTCCCAGAATGCAACTGACTGTGTGTATAGGTGTCAGCTGCCCTCGTCACAGTAGCCTGTGGAAACTGGGGCTTGGGTAATCAGTACAAGAAACATGATAATATAGTGTTTACTGCTATTGCTGTGAGTAATAAACTGTCCTTGACTCTGACCCAGGACACTAGTGTCTTCCACCAGGATACATGAAATGATACAGGCTAACATGTGGGCTTGGAAGTGGGGTAAGGTCCCAGACCCTTCACCATTCTTGATAGAGGTGAGGCCTGGAAAGGCATATGCTCTGATCACGAAGGAATGTAAATAATAAACAGCCTGAGAAGCCTGGACTTCTCTCTACATAGCATGGAAAGATGCTATAGTGCTACAATCCCCTAAACTATAAGTAAAACATGAACACGGTTGATTTTGGGAAAATCATACAGCACTTCAGAGTACAGACTAACAGGGACAGGGACAAAAAATGGAGAGACTAGTTTGACTAGTTAAACAACACAGCAGGCAATCTGATCCAATGAAAAACGATAGAGCCTAGGTGGAAAACAGAATAAAAGAAATCTAGTAAAGGGTACCAGAGTTTAAGAAATTAATCCTTATTAGCAAAAGAATCTCTCTTAGGACTTGGTTTGGTTGGTTTTTGTTACTGAGGAAGATTTGCCCTCCGCTAACATCTTCCTTTATTTTCTATGTGGGTCACTGCCACAGCAGAGCCGCTGACAAGTGGTGGAGGTCCGTGCCCGGGAACCGAACCCGGGCTGCTGAAGCAGAGCGTGAACTTAACCACTAGACCACAGGGCCAAGCCCCTCTCTTAGGACTTTTCAAAAACTTTCTTGGGGCCAGTCCTGCAGCCTAGTGGTTAAGTTTGGGGCACTCTACTTTGGCAGCCCAGGTTCAGTTCCCAGGCACAGATCTACACCACTCGTTGGCAGCTCTGCTTTGGCAGCGATCCACATACAAAACAGAGGAAGACTGGCATGGATGTTAGCTCAGGTTGAATCTTCCTCAGCAAAAAAACCCAAAAAATAAAGCCTTCTTAAACTAACAGACAGTATCATGTTTAATGGCAAAATATCAACAAAATTTAAAAGCCATTAAACATGACAAAATATCAACAAAATTTAAAATTTAAAAGCAAAATCAGACTTAAGACATTTATGGCCACTAGCAACACAGTAGTTAACATCACCCTGGAAGTGCTATCTGATAAAATTAAGTAAGAAGAATAAAAGATTTCAACATTAGAAAAAAGACAAAATTCCATCATTTCAGATGATATGATTTTGTCAAGAAAATAACCTAAAAATATTTTAGAATTATTACAGTTCCTTAAGATGGCTTTTCACTAAGTATGAAAAAATCAAAAGCTTCCCAAAGTAACATCAACAGCCAGTTAGATTATATAAGTTTAAGAATAACCACAAAAACAAACTAAAAAAACTTTATGAAAAAAAGTGTAACACTTTACTGAGGGATATAAATTAAAACCTGTTCTTAAAGTGAGAAAAACCTAAGACTGTGAAGGTATCAATAATCTGTAAATCAATTTATAAACTGAATAAAAATGCCAATCAAAATCTTAATGTAATTTATTTGGAAAGCAGGGGTAGGTCATCTGAACAAATAAATACGTAAAACATCCAGAAAAATTACTTTTTAAAGAAGAGTTATGACAGAACACTCTGACACTAAAATGCATAAAACCACAATAATGAAAACTGTATGAGAAGGGTCCAACTGAAGCAAAGGAATTCTTCAATATATAGCACTGAGGCGAGAGGTCAACCACGTAATTCATGGAGGGGCTGAGAAGTAAGAGTCGAAAATCTGAAAAAGAGAAAGAGCGGTCTCATCTCTATCTGCCGCTCTGTGAAGGCAACCGTCCCTCCTCCCACTCCCTCAATAACTGTGCACTCCCTTAACAACACACTGAGAAGAAAAAAAACTGTAGTGAATATCCGATAAACGAGCAGCCATATGAGACAATTCAGGGAGATGGACGGTGACACCCCAGGATAAAATTCGGAATGTTCTTTTCTACGGCAACATCATTACCCACGGACCTGGGAACCTACGCATCACACATACGCTCTCCCAGAAGAGTGTGTGCATCTTCCATACCAAGCAGCTTCTAGAACAGGGATTAGTTCACAAATCACAACTTCCCTGCAAAGTGCTTCTAGCAGGCAGGCCAGTTCTTTTAGCAACAAGCATCCTACAAAGTCTTTAAACTACTGTATATAAGTGGGATAAATATATCTGGAGGAACAATTTGGGGGAAATGGTGAGAAATCAGAAGAATGAAGGTAAAAAAGAACTGAGTTAACTGACAAAGGTGAGTAAAGACACCTTCTACTTCTATTTCTTGCAAAAATTACTAATTCCCTAAACACACAGCCTCTGGTATCCTTAAGGGAGAGAAAGAGTTGTTTTACATAGATTAGAGAGGGTGTTGCATGAGAAGTGGGTTAACAATTATTTGAAATCTAAACCAAAAAGTCAGATTTTATGAAATGACCTCTTTTAAACAGAGGTGATAATAATAAGCATTACTGGTTCTCATCAAGCTCTTTGCTTTTCCAAAAGTCGCATTTTAGAATGCTAATATTTTAGCAAAAAAAAACCCTGAACAAAAAAAGAAAATGTAATTTTCATTGATAACAAATTACTAATGTTGAAAAAAAAGAGAGAAATCGTAACATATTCTAAAAACAATTATTCCAATAATTGCTACAGATATGACAAAGTAACCAAATAAAAAGGAAATTATGATATTTTTAAAGTCCTATTAGTTAGAACTCAAAAAACTGTACTTCATAGGAATAGAATAAAAATTTCAGAAATAGACCCACACAGACAAACTGGGTTTCCAATAAAAATGGAAACACACCACAGTGGGAAAAGACGGACTTCTTAATATGTGGTTTGGGGATAACTGGATAGTTGTATTAAAAAAGCTCAAATTGGATTTATTCCACATACCAGGATAAATTTCAGTGCATCATTAAAAATGAGCAGAAAGTTGAATAGAGAGTCCACCAAAGAAAACACAGGGATGGAAAATAAACACATGGAAAAAGTCTATTATTATTTATTAGGGAAATGCATTTTAAAAGCATGATGGGCTATCACTACACACCTACCAGAATGAGTGAAATTAAAGACCAACAATACCAAGTGTTAATGAGGATCTGAAATAACTGAGCATCTCTTATATCACTGGTGGGAACTAAAAATGGTACAGACATGTGGAAAAGAGTGTGCGGTTTTTTATAAATTTAAATATACACTTATCATATAACCCAGAAATTCTACTCCTAGGTATTCACCAAGACAAATGAAAACATGTTCACTCACAACTTGTAAAAAAAATCAGCTTTATTCATAATAGCTCCAAACTGGGAAACAGTCCACACACATGTCCCTCAGCTGGTGAACGGATAAACAAATAGAGTACAGCATGTAGTGGAATACTACTCAGCAACAAAATGAACGAATCTCAAAAGCATTCTGCTAAGTGAAGGACACCAGAAAATAGTAACAGAAAGCAGAGCAGTGGTGGCCAGGAGTTGGGTGCGAGGTGAGGGGCTGACTGGAAAGGGGCAGAAGGAGTGATGGATGTTCTATAACCTAATCTCATGGTGCTTTCCCCAGTTGTGTACATTTGTCAAAACTCATCAAGTTGCACTCGAAACA